AGCCATGCTCACAGGCACGCCTCTCTCTGGCCCCTTGGCCTCTGCCTTGCTCAGCAAGTGCCACGAAGCTCTTGCAGCCCCTGCCAACAAGTGCCCAGAGGCACCCTACTCGGCCAGCAAGCTTTGACACAAAGGCACTCAGCTTTCTCACTCCGTGGACCGGGAAGCCCACTGTGCAGTTTCCTGCCGGTCTCTCTCACCACCGCTTCTTGCCGTCTTCAGTGTTACAGCTCTCCCTCTCTCGGTCTCCTGGTTCCAGGAGCTTCTCAGCACAGAGATCCCGGTCCAAAGGACACACTGTGCTGTTGGCTCTCCTTCTTTGGTGGTGGTGGGATCCTCTTTTTCCTGCCTCTGGGATGGCTCATTTCAAGCCCAGTGGGATGGCAAAAATGACCAGTTCCCTTGATGGGCTACAATTACTCTATTAGCACAGTCCCACCCAATCACTTGGGTGAGAGTTACAAGACCATGGTGGGAAAGGCCACACAAAAGCGATCCATCATTCCACACCACTACACTAAAACCCAAAGTCCTTGCTGTGGCCAAGAGGCACCCCACTCCCCAATCCTGGCGCTTGCCCCACCCATTTCTCTGCCCACATCCTCTACCACCCTCCTTGTTGCTCAGTTGCTCCAGCCACACGCTCTACTCAACGTTGCTTCTGAACATCCCAGCTCAGGGCCTTTGTTCTGCTCTTCTCTCTGTCTGGAACATTCTCTCCCCTGGTCCTGTTCCTCCCTTTTTTCACCTCAAATGTCACCTCAGACGGATCTTCCCTCATTACTCTACATAAAGCAGCAGCCTCTGTCACTCTCTATTTCCTGCTTTATCTCTCTTCATAGCCCTCAACTCTGACATTTTATTCACACACACACACACACACACACACGCGCGCGCGTTTACTGTCTCCCCCAGTTGAATGTAAGCTCTACAAAAGCAGAAAAATGGATTTGTTCTTCTCTCTGTTTCTACCAGGGGCAGTGGTGGTTCGATGGTAGAATTCTCACCTTCCGTGCGGGAGATCCGGGTTCAATTCCTGGCCAAGGCGTTCTCATGCGCGGCCACCACCTGTCTGTCAGTGGAGACCTGTGTGTTGCTATAATGCTGAATAGATTTCAGCAAAGTTTCCAGACCAAGACAGACTGGGAAGAAAGGCCTGGTGATCTATTTCATAAGATTTGCCAATGAAAACCCTACGGATCACAACAGGCTGATCTGCAACCGGTAATGGGGATGGTGCAGGACTTGGTGGCATTTTGTTCCATGGTGCATGGGGCCATCACAAGTTGGAGGCTGACTCAAGGGCAGCTAACAACAATTATTTCCACCGTGTTGATCAGTATCTGACACAGAGCAGATAACCAACTGGTACCTTCAAACTATTCACAGGTGAATACCATATTTACACAAGTCCAGAGAAAAACTGCATTCCAAGATTCCAACTATAATAACTCAACTTCTGCTATCTAGGGCTCTATATTATCGTGATAGGAAAATGGCTTTTAATTCAATCTGCAAGGCATTGTACGAGAAGAAAAATTCTGGACATTAGTATTTAACGAGACTGTTGTGTTAGGGTCCCTGGGTGCCACAAATGGTTTGTGCTAGACTACTAACTGGAAGGTGGAGGTTCAAACCCACCCAGAAGCACCATGGAGATTTACAGAAGGTCTTTACAGAAGATCTGCTTCAGCCAAGAAAACCCTGTGGAGCTCAGTTCTACTCAGTAACACATGGGGTTGCCATGAGTTGACTCAAGAGCAGGGCAATAGATTTTTTTTCGTTCATGTGCTAGGGTCTTTCACATGTTAGCTAATTAATCCTCACTGAAGCTCTCAGAAGGAGCCAGCCCTGGTGGAGCAACCGTTAAGTGCCTGACTGTTAACTGAAAGGTTGGCGGTTCGAATCCACCAGCAGCTCTGCGAGAGGAAGGCCTGGCTAACTGCTTCCATAAAGATTACAGCCAAGAGAACCCTATGGGGTCATTCTACTCTGTCACATGGGGTCTCTATGACTCAAAATCAACTCGGTGGCACACAACAACAACAACCAGGAAGCCCTTTCAGGCAGACATTATCTCCATTGTCACAAATAAGGCCACTGGGACTCTATGAGATTGTAACCTGTGATATTGTGACGTGTATTCAAGGTACCAGATTTAGGAACTCAGATCTCACTCCAGCAGCCAGGCTCTTTTTATTATACTATTGGATATTGTCAGAAAAGCTTGACATACACTAACCCAGTTCCTAAGAGCTGCATGTAAACTTGTTCCTGGGTTCTCTGATACCCAACCAGCCCACCTAGTGGCAGCAAAAAATAAGTAAAGCATAGAAGACCATGAGGCATTTCTGCTCTTCCTCTATGAACTAGAAACCTCCACATCTTTCTACACCGCAGAGGACATAGAGTCATTTCTGAAGTCTTCTCTTCCAAAGAGGGTGGAAGGGTTAAGATTTTTGGGAAGAGAATAGTAAGACTTAGTAAGTACTTATAAAAAACAATATATATTCATTCGCTCATTCAATAAATACGTATTGAATGATGGCCATGGCTATACACCGAGCTAAGCTCTGGGGACACAGTGATGAATAAATAAGGTGGACATTGTCCCTGCTTCATGGAGCTTATGGACAACAAAGGATCTCATAGAGCTAGAATTATGCTGCTGCCATAAACTCATGACACTTTCATCCATTCATTCACTCAAGAAATGTTTGACCGCATCCTTTGTGGAGCAACATTTTTTAACTTTTGTTTCCTAAGTGCCGTATCTAGTAGTAACAACCCACAGAATTAGATTAAATTCTACCTCTGTCACGTAGAGGTTCCTCAGCTACTAAATGGGAATAAAAATATTTCCTTTTCAGTGTTCTTATGAGAATTAAAAGAAAATGTACGTAAAGCACTGAACAGGGTGCTTGGCTAATAGCAGATATTCAATTGTTGCTTGTTGCCATCAAGTTGGCTCTGACTCACGGCAACCCCATGGAGGCCAGAACAAAACAATGCCCGGTTCTGTGCCATCCTCACATCTTTGGTATGCTCGAATCCATTGTTGCAGCCACTGTACATTTTGAGTGCCTTCTTGCCTAAGGAGCTCATCTTCCCGCACTATATCGGACAATATTCTGCTGTGATCCATAGGGTTTTCACTGATTAATTTTTGGAAGTAGATTGCCAGGCCTTTCTTCCTAGTCTATCCTGGTCTGGAAGCTCTGCTGAAACCTGTCCACCACAGGTGACCCTGCTGGTATTTTAAATACCAATGGCATAGCTTCCAGCATCACAGCAACACAAAAGCCACCATAGTATGACAAACTGGCATATATATATATAATATTATATATTATATA